ATTAACGTGAATTATTTAATTGAGTATAATTATCGGTATTACGGGGAAATAGTTCAAACGCATCAGATGAAAGGGTGCAACCGATAATCGACTTAAATATAAAATTTAACATAAAATAGAAAAAATGAAAATATGGAAGAGAAAATTTAAAATTAGAAACCAGGACGACTACTGGTTGATTTTCCATGGCCACTTATAAAGCCATCTCACATATCCCTCACCTTTTCTTTTCTTTCTTCTGTAGGGTGGTTTATTCTTTCGAAATTGTGGTAGTGGTTCTGGATCTATCATAAGTATAAGTTTTTCAAATTTGGGCTTAGTGATTTCATCCATCGCCTCATAAGTTAACCTCACCCTTTTAACAGCAATTATACCATTAATTTTATGGTCCTCTAATTTTCGCTTTTTAGGCAAGACTTCAAATAGTGGTACATTAATATGGATATTTAATACCTCAACATACGTTTTAAATTGGGAGTCTACCGGAGTTTCCATAAAAAATTTCGGGAAAGAAATCAGTGGGATGTAGTGATTTGGGATTACAATTTGCGCTTCCTTCTCTACCTCGTTTACAACCTCCTTTTCGAACAGCGTTGGTGAATCTGTCTCAATCTCCACTATTTTCTCGTCAGAACTTTCCTTGGCCGCAATATCACTCTCTTCAAACTCATCATCACTCTCTAGATTTTCAAATAGTTTTTCTATAATGGTTGTTTCAACATCCACATCTTCTTTGGGGAATGGTCCTAGAAGGTTTTGTTCAAGTTGGGAGTTTTGAGTTTCTAAGGCCAAGTTGTGAGTCGTGAGGGACTCAACCACAACGGTTAGTTGGCTAAGGTTTTCATTATTTTGAAGACTTTGTTTTCTTACCTCTTCATTTTGGACAGTTTGTGTTTCTACAAAATGCTCAATCATAGACTCTAACCTAGCGTTGGTTATCATCTCATCAGAATCCTCTATTGGTGTTTCGAAGTTAAAATCTTGCGATTCTTCAGAGTCTTGGAAGTAAGTTAAAGTCTCCTTTTGTGTTTCCCCTAAGTGTTTTATCATCCTAGATGTTTCATTAAAATTTTCCATTAATATTTCGAGATCAGATTTATATGGTTCAGGTGATTCTTCAAAATATTGGGTGTGGTAATTATAGAGAGAATTGGGTTGAGGAAAAGTTTGGTTGAAATTATAAGTTTCTTGTGGTTCCTCAAAATGTGGGGATTGGTAGTTTTGGAGGTAATTTGGGTAAGAGTAGGTTTGTGAAGCATTGAAATCTTCCATCAGTATTTCAAGGTTGGATCTATGATATTCTTGTGGTTCCTCAAAATACTGATAATGGGCGTAGGAAAAATTTGGGTTATACATAGTAAATAAAGTAAAGGTGCCTTAGTCTATACGGTGTAACACCAGAGTTACAATATCGACTTAAATACTCCCCGACAACGGCGCCAAAAACTTGGTCGCAAAAACTTGATCGCAAGACTTTATCGTCTGTTAATCGGGAGACTGCAAGTGCACAATCCTATCGCGTAGTTTTAAAAGATATCGAACCCACAGAGACTATAAATCGATCTATTGTTATCCTAAGTTACGGTACACAGCTAAGGCGAATAGTTCTTTTAGAATATTGGTTAAGGAATATAAATATAAATAAAACGGATATCGGTACGTAAAGTAGTGAACCTAAGCGGCTTAAATTGAACTTAAGCGTATAAAGATGGTTAACTTAATTGTTCTGTAGAATTTATTAGTTTAAATATCCTCGACTCACACTTTCATGGTCTTATCTCAGATTATACGTCTAAAGCCCTATACCTGCTTTCGCTAGCCTATAAGTGTTTAGAAGTATTTTTTGGAAACTTAATTAATTCTAATTTGGTTTAAAGCGCTTTCACTGTATCTAAATCAAATGCCTAACTTTAGCTATCCGGTTAAAAACCTCACACTTTCATGGTCTCGATCTAACCTATTTACTTTCTTTACTTTCGTAACAAAAAGCGTAGTTTTAATTAAAAAAAGTCATAACCAGAAATTAAGTTAATTAGTATTTTAACTTATGAACAATTTAATTCCTGGTCTTACTACTATTACTTACCGATACCTAAACGGTTTAGCCGGACATATTTATTAATTCAGACATGCATAAATAATAAGGTTCAATATATTTAAACATTCCCATAATCAAATAAATAAATACCAAGCAACAATACTTAAATAAAATAAAATAATTATATTAAGAACCTGAAAATAATAATGATGCTTGAATAATCTTGTTCTTCGAAATAAACGAGCATTCCCCCACAAGTCGGTTGGATCTGCTCGGAGACTTCTTGAATTGAAAAGAAAAATTACGACAAGAAATAAAAAGCACTAGGTCTAACGTAAGGTTAGATCAGTGAAAATTATAGAAACTTAAACTAAAATAAAAACTAAAGAAAGAAACTGAACTAGAAAAGTATGGTAGAAATACAAAACTGAAAAGTAAATACGAAAACAGAAAAATAAAGAAAGACTAAATAACGGTTGTTCGGTAAAAATTGCCGACCCTTGCTCTGAAGGTTGAACTTGTATTTATAGGCTTCATTTGTAACTTCCCGTTTCCATGTTGTATGAAGGCTAGTGGAGATCATGGGAATAACTACCAGAATCATGGGAGAACATGGGAATAACTACCAAAATCATGGGAGAACATGGGAATAACTACCAGAATCATGGGAGAACATGGGACACGTCTCCATGACGTGAGGAAGTTGAAATATAGCGCGTTACGGTCGTCACAGGTCTGTTACGGTCGTCACAAGGCTATTAGCGTGTTACGATCGTCACAAGGCTGTTACGGTCGTAACACCTTGTGGACTGAACTTCTGCTGGACTTTTGCTCTTCTGGGCTTAGTCTTTTTCTTTGTATAATTATTTCTTTCTTCTTAACTCCTCCTTTTTGCTATATCACCCCTTTGCTTCATTTCTTTGGCTTTTTAATCCGATTTTCCTTCAATTTATCTTCTTTGCTCAATTGATCTTTTATTTAATACAAATACCTGAAACAAAAGAAATACCAACGTAATACAAAAATAAAATAGAATAAATAAGTAAAAATACTAATATTATCTATGAAAATTAAGCCAAATATGTTATATAAATTCGTGTTATCAACAATCGGTTGTCATAGTTATATTTTTCAAAATTTTTAAACATTGCTTTTACAGCAATTGGTTGTTGCTTTAGTGCAACCGGTTGTTGTGCTTCAAATTTTGAAAATTTTCATTTTTTCAGCAACTTTTTGTAACACCTTTTCATGGCAATCTTTGTATCTTTTCAAATACATTTTTTTTCCAGTAAAAATAGTTTAAACATTGCTATGATTCATTGAAGAGGTATTACTACACTATAAATTATTTTTATTTTGAATTTTGAAAATACAACAACAATCACTAACAACTATTACTTTCTATTCTTTTGATCATACTCTATATACTCAAGATTTCTGTTCATCATTTTCATATGCATACTGAAAATTGTTCTTGAGCACTTAGAAGAGTATTCCATCTTAAATTTCATATTGAATAGAAAAGATCAATCAAGTGATTGACATTGCTCTTTCATTATTCAAACTCTTATACAAATCAAACAAACTATTGTATCCTTGTTTTCAGGATTGTTGGAAACAAGAAAGTCACTTAGAGAAGATTGTTCTCTTTGTGGACTTAGTGAAAATCCAAGAGGATTGTTCTTGGTCCAAGAGGATTGTTCTTGGTTGTTTGGTAGTCTTTGTACAAATTACCAACTATAAGAAAATCTCTTTTATGTGAAAGGGGACTAGACGTATCCTCGGATTGTGAGGGGAACTAGTATAAATCCTGGTGTTTTTTACTTTCCGCATTTACTGCTTTCATCACTTATCAGAAAAAGAAAGAAAAGAAACTCGTGCAAAAATATTCATACAATTCAGAAAAAGTTTTAAAGAATCTAATTCACCCCCCCTCTTAGGCACATCTGAACTTACAAAATCTCTCTTTGTGTCAAGATTAGAAGTAAATAATCTTCACTTTTGTATGTATTTCTCTTTAAAAAAATTCACTCATTTAATCATTATATATTTTTTATCAAATAAAATACTTTATTTATATTAAATTGTATAACTTATTTTTCAAGAAAAAATAAAATTGACTTGAAAAATATTAGTTTTTTTATGATAAAATATTAACATTTATATTAAAAGAAGATACAAATATTTTTTTTTTATAAAAAGATATGAGATAATTATAATGAGTGAATACACAAATTTTTTATGAAATACAAATTTATTATTTTTTTATATATATTATTAACCATTATTATATTATATTTATTTATTATTTATAACGATATTATGCGACTCGTGCAAACACATAAATATATGATTATTTAATTATTTTCTTTAACATTTTACTAAAATATATATTTATGACGAGTCGACAGTAATTAATTTATTAAATTATATTTATTTACTATTTATAACGATATTACGCGACCAATACAAACACACAAATAATTAATCAATTATATATTAATGGAAAGTGTTTTTACGCATTGAACAATAGAAAATCAACATTCTACTATGTTATTAAAATTTTTTAAAATTAAAAATGAGATATAAGTAAATACATGTTTGTAATTGATTAACTGTAAAACTATTTTTACATTTTCAGCGCATCATTTTATATAATATATCTCCGAATTTTATTATTATTAAGTTAGTTTAAAGTTAGATTCACCGGCATTAAAACCAAAGCTGGCTTCCAATTTCCATTTCCATTTCCAAAGAAAGAAAAATAAAAATAAAATAGCTTTGAATTTACTTTCCAATTAGATCCTTCTCCTTCACCACTCTCCAACTCCAAACCCTCATCAAACCTTCTTTCATTTTGTCTCTTCAAATTGAAACAATAAATAATAACAATAATTATAATAATCATCATCATCTTGATAATAATAAAAGATCGAATGGTTTTATAAAATCTCGAATTAAAATGAAGGCAGGAAGTGCTGCCAAGTTGATCGTCGACGCTCTTCTTCAGCGCTTCCTCCCTCTCGCACGACGTCGTATTGAAACCGCTCAAGCTCAGGTGCGTTATTTATTACTTCTTCTACATTCTTCTTTTGATTCATTTCTTCAATTAATTGATTGCGGGTTCACGATAGGATGGGCAATACCTGCGACCATCTGATCCGGCCTACGAGCAAGTTCTCGATTCTCTTGCTATGGTTGCTCGCCACACTCCTGTTCCACTTCTTGAAGCTTTGTTGCGATGGAGAGAGAGGTTCCTTATTAAACCATTTCATCATTTTTGTTTCTCTTTGTTGCTTTTTACTTTTTTTTTTTTTTTTTGAAATCTTAGTATCCGACCTTGCGACCGACTAATCCAAGAGGGGTTGCTTATTATTGGATGTTTTTGAGAAAACGGCTTAATTATTAAGTGCTTAATGTATATGCAAGTGGAAGAGCTTATTTACATAATATTTGGGCTTATTTTATGAAATAGACACTTAGGTGTTTGGGAGAGAATTTATGAAAGTAGTTTGTTCTATCTTCAGAAGTAGTTTATGACGTAGGCACTGAAGTTATTTTTAGCTTGCGAAAATAAATTTTATCTTATGGAACAAATTGTTTCACTCGGCTAGGGTGGTTTGGGCATGTTCAGCGAAAAGCGGTAGATTATGATGTAAGGAGAGTAGATCAGATGGAGAGGAGTCAGACAATTAGATGTACAGGAAGAGATAGAAAAACTATAAGAGAAACTATTATAAAAGATCTCGAGATTAACAAATTGAATAGAAACATGGTCTTTGATAGAACATTATGGTATAATTTGATCTACGTAGCCGACCCTACTTAGTAGGATAAGGCTTGATTGTTGTTACTGTAAAAGTGTTTTATTTCCTCAATGAAATACGGTGCAATACGTCTCTGAATTTGGTAAAAGACTTGAGGATTAGTAATAGATGTATGTAGCCACCCTTATTACTTATGAAAACAACTTACAACTATATAAGAACCATTTAACCTCACCTGCTTTTTGATTATAAAATATGTGCGTTTAAGGAAACAACTTTCAGTGCCTAGCCCTAGTGTATGTATGCTTGGAGGAACTTATTTACATCTTATTTAGGTTTATTTTTTGACATGCACTTAAGTGTTCAGGAGAGCTTATTAAAATAACTTAGGTGAGTTGTATCCCGTTCATAAAAGTAGCTTACAAATATATGAAAACAATTTAACCACACCCACTCTTTGATTATAGAAATATAAGTAACATATTTAAGCACTTAATTAAGTTATACCCAAATGAATTAAGTGCATATCATATATGTGTTTATAATAAGCTATTTCTGTAATCAAAAGAGAAATAAGCTGTTTTCATAAGCAATATTGAAGAACTTCTTTGATATAAGCTGAAAATAGCTAATGGACTTCATGTCGTAAGCAATTTTATTAAGCTCTCCCCGTCATTTATAGCTTATGTTAAAAAAGCTGAAAATGGGTTCTTTCAAATGCACCCATAGCTTATGTTTTGAAACTGGACTGCTTCGTCATTTATTGCTCATGTTAAATAAGCTGAAAATGCACTCTTTTAAATGCACCCGTAGCTTATATTTTGAATCTATACGTCTTCTGTGCGTTGTAGTGAAATAATAACAATTTATTTAAAATGTTTTTTTACTATTGTAGTGAATCTCCCAAGGGTGCAAACGACGCATCTACGTTCCAAAGAAAGGTTACACATTTTTCTTCCCTTATATATACATTAACATTTGCGCATAAAATTGTGTTCTCAATAAATCAAGAACGCCCGTAAATTTTCTAATTTTGGTTTTGATTACAAAGCTTTGGTTAGTTAGTTCCAAGATTTATGATAGCATTTTTTTTTTTTGTGTGTGGAATTCAGCTTGCAGTGGAGTGCATTTTTTGCTCAGCTTGCATACGGTTTGTGGAGTGTTGTCCACAAGAAGGGCTTACGGGTTTGTACTTTGTTTGTAACCGTATATATTGGAGTGTTGTCCATAAAAATTAGTCTCATTATGTTCATTTTTCATTAGTTTTTAGTCCCCTTATAATTGTCATTTGTTCTATGCTGCAGAGAAGCTGTGGTCTGGACTGGAAAATTTTGTTTTTGACTGGCTAATAAACGCTGACAGGTAAATTTAGCTGTTGTAGATGATAATGGGAATTCTGTATCTTCTGTGTATGAGTCTGAATAGTATAGTATAGGGTTCACTGTTCAAACACTGGTTCACCTTTTTAAAGTTCAGACTTTGGAAATCAATGTTAGGTTCTTGCAAAAAACTTGTCACTAGTCTGGATTACTTGTTTTTGTAATATTATCAATTAACAGTTCCAAACTTCTTCTGTATTGTTACTCAATTTCAAGTTGAATGCTTTGGCTATATGAAAGAAAGAAAAGTCTAATAATACAAACCTCTGTTAATAGTAGTTGGTGGGAAATTTCTTAGCTTTAGTAATTATTGCTAGTTAAAATCACTCTAGAATCTAGAACCCTCTAATAATGCTATCTTAGCCTAAAATAGAGACACCATGTGTTGTCAACTATGCTTTTGAGAGGTTATGCTTTCTTTTATACATGCATTGGACAAAAACCTTAAAAATACAAGAGTTGAATTTCATTTATAAGCCAAAAGGACAACTTCTAATGAAAGATGTGAAGAAAGAAAATTGTGATTAAAAACTGGCATTTCAATGCAGCTAACAGTGTTACCGAATTGCGGTGCGACGATCGCTATGGTGGATATACATGACATTTTTTGTGCTCGCCGCAATGGTAAATATCGTCTGATATGCGGGTTTTTCTGCCATAATCTGCTATAATGGCGCTGCAAAGCGGACGGTATGGCGGAATTTTGGCTCTCCGCTATGGACTGTCATTCGCAATTGACAACACTGGCAGCTAATAAGACCATAAGCTCAAAAATAAGCATACTGTTCTGAAGTTTTAACACTTAAGCAATGCTATCCGGACCCACTGCAAACTTAAGAACAACAACAAAGTTTAACTATTTGTCTCAGAAATATTCAACTACTGAATAGTTGTGTAATCCTCTAAAGTGACTCTTTTTCAAAGTTTGATTTTAGGGTGCTTAACATTGGATGCGTTTTTGTTAGGAAATAGGGACAGTTAGAGAACAGTCAAGGAACTTAAGTTAGAGGGAGTATTTAAAAAAAAAATAGAAGGAAGCATTTTGTACATTCGATTTTGTGAGTGAAAGGAGAGATCCTTTATGAAAAAAAAATCCTTGGGTGAGTTCTATTCCCATCTTTTGCTTAGTTTTTTCGTAATATAATATTTTCTTGAGTGTTCTGTTGAGATCCCATATGGACGATATTGCCAAAGCATTAATTATAAAGTTGGGCAATCCCCACTTTTTGATCTATTTTTTGAGGTTTAGTTAAGACTAGATCCCAAACTCTAAGGTGGTATCAGAGGCTCAATGTTTATACTAGAACTGTTATTGGACTAGTAGTACACTATTTTCTCGAGGGCTCTGATGAATTCCACATCGACTAGTGATATTGCCAAAGCATTCCTTATAAAGTTGGGCAATTCCCACTTCTTGATCTATTTTTTGAGGTTCAGTTAAGAGTAAATCCCAAACTCTAAGGTGATGTCAGAGGCTCATTATTTATCCTACAACTATTATTGAACTAGTCATTCCATTCCACCTGCATCAGGCTATGCTCCAGGCCAGATGACCAGTGTTGGTTGTAAGGGGATGTGCAGAACTTGAGATCCCTATATTGACTAGAGATATGGCCAATGTAGTCTCTATAAGGCTTGGGAAATCTTCACTTCTTAAGCTAGCTTTTGGGGCTGACTAAGACCTAAAACCCAAATTCTAAGAGCTTCTATCTTTCTTTCGATTCAGTTTATTGGTTCTTACTGCGCATGTCATTTAAATTGAAATAATTATTGGTCACATTTATTAGAGATACATAGCTTAGTCTAGCTTTCAGTATTTGAAATGAGCTTATATTTCTATTGTATATTCTAGCTTAGCTGTTCATTGTATCTCTAATCAGATAAGAACAATAACAACATTCTTTCACTTCCTTCTTCTTTTCACTTTCTAACATGGTATCTAGAGCTCTTTTCTTAATCTAGCGCTTCCATGGCGTCTCCTTTCAATTCTGAGGGTGCGTTTCCCTCCTCTCAAGTGAAATTATCACATCTCATCTCTGTCAAACTCGATGAGAAGAATTTCAAACAATGGAAGCAACAGATAGATGGAGTGATTCGTGGCCATAAGCTACAGCGGTTCGTCACGACACCGCTCGTTCCTCCGCGTCCGCGTCTTCTTCTCGGCGCCGATCCTGTTACCGGCGGCGCAAATCCAGCTTTTCTTGATTGGGAACAGGATGCGCTCATCTGCACCCGTCTCCTCTCTACGATCTCCGATTCTCTTCTTCCGAAACTTGTGGATTGCTGCACGTATTCTTGGCAGGCGCGGTCTGAAGTTCATCGCTATTTCAACACCTTACTCACGACGAGGGCGAGGCAACTTCGATCTGAACTACGCAATCTCACAAAAGGTTCACGCACGATTGAGGAATTTGTGGTACGTGTGCGTGAAGTCAGTGAAGCCTTGGTTTAGATTGGAGATCCTGTCCCTCTTAGTAACCTAATTGAATTGTTCTTGATGCGCTTCCTGAGGAGTATGATTCGATCGTAGCGGCGATGAATAACAAAGAAGATCTGTGTTCGTTGGATGAACTTGAGTTGAGTCTTCTTGCTCATGAATCGCGCCTTGAAAAGAATCGTAAAGCTGTTCTCACTGAACCTGTCACCGTGAATCTCACTCAAGCGTCGCTGTCATCAGCGTCGTCTTCGACAGAAGTTTCAGGTGTTGATCCTAACTCTAATTTTCCCACTGGAACCAATCATGTGACTGCTAATGCTGAAAACCACGGTTATGGCGCTCGTGGTGGTCGATATAGTCGTGGTGGTGGACGCTTTGGGAAGGTTTCATGTCAGATATGTCACAAATCTGGACATGATGCCTCTGTATGCTATCATAGATACTCCTATTCAGGTGCTGTTTCCTTTCCTCAACCACAAGCTCCCTTCAATCCTTACATGATGGCATCACGTGCTCCTACCTATCCTTCTTCATATGGATATTCTGCTACTCCTCGTCCTACACCACCTAAGGCAAAATCCACCACAAGCTTTTCTTGCAGGAACTGATCCTAATTTCAGTAATCAGTGGTAGTATCCTGATTCTGGTGCTTCTCACCATGTCACGCCTGAGGCTTCAAATCTGTCTGATGTTTCTTCCCTAACTAGCGCAGAACAGGTGTATATGGGAAACGGCCAAGGTTTGTACATTAACTCTGTATGTTCCATGAGTTTTCCTTTATCTAAGCATCCTAATTCGTCTCTTATGCTTCACAATCTTCTTCTCGTGCCTCACATCACTAAAAACCTTATAAGTGTCAGTAAATTCGCACAAGATAATTGTGTTTTCTTTGAGTTTCATCCTCAGTTTTGCCTTGTAAAATCGCAGGATTCTTCTGAAGTTCTTCTTCGTGGCAATGTTGGAGCCGATGGTGTTTACAGATTTGCTAATCCTGCCGTGTCTGTGTCACAAGCTAGTAGTCATAGTACTTGTAATAATCATAGTTTTAAGTGTAATTCAGCTGCTCTTTGCAACTGTATCTCCCATTGTAATCCTGTTTCTCATCTTAATAAAAATATCGTTGATTCTGGTTTTAAATTTCAGCCTATTGCTCTTGTTTCTACAGTTAATATGCCAACCTCTTCTTATAATGTGCCATATTCCCTTGCTATATCTGATAACAAATATACCTTATGGCACACAAGGCTTGGTCACCCCATCACCATACTCTTACTGAAGTTCTTAAAATATGCAATATACCCATTCCTCACAAACCTCCTAATGATCTATGTTCTGCTTGTTGCCTGGGCAAGTCCCATAGACTGCCATCCTCCCTATCCACTACCATTTACCATTGTCCTTTTGAACTTGTTGTGTGTGACTTGTGGGGATCTGCACTAATGCACTCTTCTGGTGGCTACTCCTATTTCCTCACATGTGTTGATGCCTTTTCCAGATTTGTTTGGGTGTTTCCCCTTAGGCTAAAATCTGATACTCTCACCCAATTTATTCATTTCAAAACAATGGTTGAACTTCAATTTAATTGTCAAATTAAAGAGGTTCAAAGTGATGGAGGTAGTGAATTCAAACCTCTCACCAAGTAACTCTCTGTCTTAGGTGTTGTTCATAGGTTTACCTGTCCTTATACTCACCATCAAAATGGTATTGTGGAAAGGAAGCATCGCCATATTGTTGAGACTGGTCTGGCGTTGCTTGCTCACTCCAAACCCCCTCTCAAGTATTGGGACCATGCTTTTGTAACTGCTGCCTACCTAATAAATAGGTTACCTAGTGTCTCTCTTCAAAACCAGTCACCTTACACACTCTTAATGCAAAAATCACCTGATTATTCCTCTCTTCGTGTGTTTGGGTGCGCCTGTTTTCCTTTCCTCAGGCCATACAATTCACACAAACTTGATTTCAGGTCCCAAGAGTGCATTTTCTTGGGCTATTCTTCCATGCATAAAGGATATAAATGCCTTGCTGCCAATGGTCAGTTTTATATCTCCAAAGATGTTCTCTTTCATGAGTCTCGGTTTCCCTATCTAGAACTTTTTCCATCTTCTAATTCCTCTTCTTCTTTATCCAGTTCCTTCAACCCTCAATCTTGGCAGCCATCAACAGCCTCTTCTCCCATCCTGCCACCTCTTCATGCTACTCCCCTACAACATGTTACTCCTGCTGCTTCACCCACTGTGAATCAGTCTCCATCTACCCCCAGTCACACTGCCAATGCAGACATTTCCCCTGCAAATTCATTGGTTGCAGCTTCTTCTAACTCCCCTGTACCTAATCCATTATCCCCTTCCAATTCATCTAATTCTCCCCAACCTGTCTTTTCTGTTTTCTCTGATTTGGCTGAAGCAAGCACTATTTCTCCCTCCTCTCTACCTAATTCTGTTTAATCTACCAGTACCACCATCAGTCCTGTCCATGTGCCTCCTGTTCTTCATCCTCTTAATAGTCATCCCATGCAAACTCGTGCCAAGAATGGTATTGTTCAACCCAGAATCCATCCCACCCTTCTTCTCACTCATATGGAACCTACAACTTTAAAACAGGCCTTGGCTACCCCTCACTGGTCTCAAGCTATGCAGGATGAATATCAGCATTGCTGAAAAATCAGACTCGGACTTTGGTGCCTCCTTCTGCATCTAAAAAGCCCATTGGCTGCAAATGGGTATTTTCGTGTGAAGGAAAAACCCGATGGCTCCATTAACATGTACAAGGCAAGATTAGTGGCCAAAGGGTTTCATCAAAAAGCAGGTAGTGATTTTACTGAGACTTTTTCCCCAGTAGTAAAGCCTGTCACTGTCAGGACAGTTTTGACTCTTGCTGTTACTCAGAGATGGTCCATACAGCAAATAGATATAAATAATGCTTTTCTAAATGGAATTCTTGAAGAGGAAGTGTATATGGTTCAACCTCCTGGGTTTGAAGCCTCTGATAAATCTCGTGTGCAGGCTTAATAAAGCATTATACGGGTTAAAACAGGCCCCCAGGGCTTGGTTTGATAGGCTTAAGTGCTCCTTACTGCAGTTTGGGCTTCAGGCTAGTAAATGGATCCTAGTCTATTTTTTCTGCATACGAACAGTCTGTCAATTCTGGTCCTGGTGTATGTAGATGACATAATCATCACTGGAAATTCTCCAACATTTATTGCCACTCTTATCAAAAGTCTCAACACTAAAGTTGTTCTCAAGGATTTGGGGCAGCTGGACTATTTCTTAGGCATTGTGGTCTCTCATTTACCCAATGGGGCATTAATTCTATCTCAAGCCAAATATGTGAGTGATTTACTTGCAAAAGTAAATATGTCCACTGCTAACTCTATGCCTACTCCTATGGTCTCTAGCAGCAAGTTATCCAAACATGGTTCTGACACAGTTGCAGATCCAACACTTTTCAGGTCTGTAGTTGGGGCATTGCAGTATGCCACTTTAACCAGACCTGAACTGTCCTTCTCTGTTAACAAAGTGTGTCAGTTCCTCTCTAATCCATTGGAGGAACATTGGAAGGCAGTCAAAAGAATTCTCTGGTATCTCAGTGGTACACTTCAGTATGGGTTACTTATTCAACCTGCCTCTAAACAACAACCCCTATCCTTGCTAGGTTTCTGTGATGCTGACTGGGCAGCAGACCCTGATGATATGAGGTCAACATCTGGTGCTTGTGTTTTCCTAGGCCCTAATGTTATCTCCTGCTGGTCAAAGAAGCAGCAACTAATGGCAAGATCTAGTGCTGAAGCAGAGTACAGGAGTATGGCTCAGCTGGCTGCAGAAATGATAGTGATTCAATCTCTTCTTACTGAACTGAAGTGTCAGTTTCAGACCCCTAAAATCCTGTGTGACAATCTCAGTGCAGTGACTCTAGCACATAATCCTATTCTTCACAATAGAACAAAGCACATGGAGCTGGACATTTTCTTTGTAAGAGAAAAGGTCCTGAACAAAAGCTTAACAGTTGTCCATGTGCCTCACTTTCTAACAACATTTCAGACTAGATTACGTTGCTTCAGAAATGAAAATAATGATTCTTTATAAATGTCCATTGGCTTTTTGTTATTTTTATCATCTTATTCTTATATAAATGTTTGATTTTAACTCAGTGAACTCTTGTTGCAGGGTTGTTAGTCAAATTGAATATCCCTCACTGGTGGATCTGAGGGGGCTTCTTCTGGACTTAGTTGCTCAACTCCTGGGTGCTTTATCTCGTATCAGGTATCTGATTTATCCCTGAATTGTACTCGACACTTATTCGTTAAGACAGATTTAAAGGTTGCATCATCATTTTAATCAAATTCATTTGTTTTTTTTATGCTTATGCAAAGTTTTTCCGTGATTTTTGAATTCTATTTGAACTATCAATTAAACCGTTCTGGTTTGAACATTTATTTTGATTATGTAGTTTTATTTTCAATTTTTAAGTTCGATGATCTCACTTTTTAAGAGTAGGTACTGTATTTTCACCAATTTAAATTAATTTTTTCTAGGGAGAATTCAATTTTTTATAACTTAACTTTAAGGGGATTGTAGTACAGGTAATTCATAAATCATAGCTTGTACTGTTCATGGTATATTTATTGGTTTGCTCCGATTTTGTAGTTGATTTTTTAATGCCAATTATGAATGCAAAAATGGTGATATAATCTGTACAAGAAAGAAATAGTGTTATTTTATAGTCACACCTAGATGCCTAAGCGATATGAGATGCCAATGCCACACATATGTAGTTGAAGAAGAAAGTATGACAGCCTAACAAGAGGCTGTGTGTTTTTGAGAGGAACATAAAGGATGATAATGGGTACAGAAGTGAGGGTAGTCTGTTAGAAGGGAGAGGGATGAAAACACAAATGTGGATTGGTGCCATATGATGAATTAGTCGGTCGATTTGAGAATTGGGGGTGGACATGGGAGCTAGAATGTATGCAGGGGAAGGAGAACAGTTCCAGGGGGAGTGGTAAATTTTGTATAGGTTGTAGGTTGCCTTTGTCTTAGGTTAGAACATAAAATCCATTTATTTACTAATTTGGAAGAAATGAATTGTATTCTTAAGTTCTCCAGTTCTGATGTGATGTGATGTGATGTTATTCATGTTTTTTTCTCTGTCCTGCTAGATTGAGGGAAATCGAAGGAAAGTATAGGAAAGAGAGAGAATGATAAACCAGAGGTCGAAACATAAGAGTCTCTGTTGTGTGAAACTGATGAAATGATTCACTTAAACTTTCAGTGAGGTACACCGTTGAATTATTTGGAGGTTGAGTCTTAAGAAGCTCAGAGTAACTGACTTTTAACGAACATAAAATAAGCTCTCCGGTACTACAATTATTAACCATTAATTAACCATATATTACAATCACATAAATATACACCCATACTGGTACATTTATGAATGATGCTATTACGCTCTCCCTGAATATTGAAGCTTTGTAGTTTTACATGGCTACCTTTTTGTGTGTTTGTGAGTGTATTAATTTTTAAAATGGAAGGGGTGCTTCTGCTTCTGTCCATTTTGACTATGGTTCAGTTTAGTCATGGCCAAAAATATGAAGTTGAGCCATTATTGTGTTGCTTTGTCCCGCAACTACAGAATATTTTTCATTTCTTGGCGTTACAATCATAAATTTGTAGGTTTAGTTCTGTTACTGAGCGGTTTTTCATGGAACTCAATACCCGTCGAATTGACACCAGTGGTGCTAGAAGTGAAACACTTAGCATCATTAATGGAATGCGCTACTTGAAGCTTGGGGTATGTATACAAATAAAATGTTTTGTGGAAACGGGATAACATTATATGACGTTGGTATAATTATAAGCTCCTTCACAGGTTAAAACTGAGGGTGGTCTGAATGCATCTGCTTCCTTTGTGGCAAAAGCAAATCCTTTAAACCGTGCTCCTCATAAACGGAAAAGCGAGCTTCACCACGCCCTATGTAATATGTTGTCAAATATCCTAGCACCTCTTGCAGATGGTGGGAAAAGCCAGTGGCCACCTTCTGGTGTAGAGCCTGCACTTACTTTATGGTATGAAGCTGTTGGCCGAATAAGAGTTCAGCTCATGCATTGGATGGATAAACAGAGCAAACACATCGCAGTAAGCGGGTCTTTGTCAATTTTGTTATTTTCCCATGCCCACTATAATGTCATGTATGATAAAGTTTTATTTCATGTTGTTACCCAGGTTGGGTATCCGTTGGTAACTCTTCTTCTTTGTCTTGGTGATCCTCAAATATTCCACAACAACTTAAGTCCTCACATGGAGCAGCTTTACAAACTTCTTAGGGTAGGGCCAAATTCAATTTCCATAGGCTTTACATCTGAATCATTGCAAACAATAAACTTTACGTAGTTTACTTTGTTGGAGAATCTGAGCTTGATTTCAATTAAACAATCATCTCACATTGTATGCATGGTTAAATAAACGCTTATGTTTCATGTAAGTATTACTCATCATTGTTGAACTTATTTTTACATGAGAAAATAAAGGTTATATGTTTACTGAGAACATAATTACTCTTGTTCTGTTTCCTTACTGTATGCTTTTGTTTGTCAACCCTACAATTTTGCTTTTATTTGTTTCAATGTGATGTATATTTACCCTCCATAGACCCCACCTGGCAGGAGCCTCGGGCATTGGGCTGCCAATTTTGTTTAAATTGCAATTAAATTGGGTGATCACACACACGGAAATTTTCTTTCTATGTTTTCTGATAAGTGTTGAATCATTAGAAGATTCCTTGGACTAATCACATAGGATACAGGTAAACAAGAGTTAAACGTTCTAGGACATCTAAAAATAACTACCAGGTTTGCATCTAGTAGCATAACTGCATAATATTTGGTTTGAATTAGTTACTTTACATATAGCAGCATTAGGGCCTCTTGTTCATTTAATCGTTAGTTTGATGGAGGATATAGAAGGGGAGTATGATGGAGGATTTTGAGGGGGAGAAAGAGAAGAGAGACAACTAATGAAAATTAACCTCAACTCATTAAAAGTATAGACCATCTACCAAAGTATACAGCTACTCTTTTATATTGACAAGCTTACGATCATCCGAGATGCCAACGGATACCTAAATATCAAATCTTTCAAAATGGCCAAGATGATATCATACTTTTTCCCTGGACTAAATGCATTTGTGATGCATGAAAATAAAACACAAAATAGGAATATGAATTGTAAAAGATTTAATAAAAAAATAGGAATAGAAATCGCCAAAATGGTCAAATGATATAATTCTTTTCAAAAGGCAAGGCGGAGAAGGGTATAACTATTCTTTTTCTTTCCCTGTTGAAAGCTTGTAGGTAATTTGTCTTGAGCTCCTAATTGGTATAATTGTGTAACTAAAGTTCATATTCATAATCACTTTATTATCTCTCTCCATTATGTTTTTTTTAATTATATGAAGACTCTTTCCCTGGTTGGATCATGCAGGATAAGAATCATCGTTTCATGGCTTTGGATTGCCTTCATCGAGTTTTAAGGTTTTACTTGAGTGTCCATGCGGCAAATCAGGCCCAAAATCGTATATGGGATTACCTAGACAGCATAACATTACAACTTTTAGCAGTTCTAAGAAAAGGATTGCTTACTCAGGATGTCCAACATGATAAACTTGTTGAATTCTGTGTAACTATAGCTGAACATAACCTTGATTTTACCATGAACCATATGATACTAGAATTGCTAAAGCAAGATAGCCCCAGTGAGGCAAAGGTTATTGGTCTTCGTGCATTGCTTGCCATTGTAATGTTGCCTTCAAGTCAGCATTTTGGTTTGGATATATTTAAAGGTACAGCTAGTCATATGCCTAGAATAATTATACAGTTATATTTAAGAGATATAAATTGTTTAGTGGTCTATCTCTGCAGTACAGCTTGACATTTTCCTGAATGAGCAGGTCATGATATTGGCCACTATATTCCAAAAGTGAAAGCTGCAATTGAGTCAATACTAAGGTCATGTCATAGAACCTATAGTCAAGCACTTTTGACATCGTCACGTACAACAATAGGTAAACACTTCTCCTATTTTATGATAGTTTGATAGAATGTATAGTCCAAGCAGAAGCATGGCAATAGAAAAGACTGAACTAAACCTCAAATTATGTCGCGGAAAACATGTTTATTTCATTTTCTCTTCATTTTATTGTATACATATAAGTTTGCGTATAGAATATATAAAAGGATAGTGGAGGCATTAATTAGAGATGATACTGGATACAATACAAGGAATGAAAACAGTGATAGAAGTGGAGACAGAAACTAACAGTGTTGTTGATGGCAGCTGGCGGTCCATGACGGAGAGCCAAAATCCCGCCATACTGGCCATTTTGCGGTGCCGTTATAGCGGATTATCGTCGAATAACCTGCAATATCGGCCGATGACACCGCTATTTGATAACACTGGAAATTAGTGACTAATCATCCCAAAATATATGATTTATCAAATAAATTCAATCAAAATTACTTTACTTTTAAATATGTTTATGACCTCAAGACCTTTGTTTATTTTAATTAGCATTCAAATGGTATGTTCATGACTAAAAAACAGAGATTGAATAGGTCAAACTCTTAGGAGAGTTGGTTTCTTGACATAGTTTTGAAAGTTCATGTCATCAAGTAGTTGGTATTAGTGTATCTATAAATGAATCGCCAAGCTTGTCAGTTTCAGTTAAAACCTTGGTACCACATTCTTTTATAAAAACAATCAAGTCACCCTATTCTTCGTAATGACACCCATTCTGTCACAAGCTAAACTACGTCTATGCTTAGTCTCCACTTCAAACTTAAAGGGATCTTCTTTGAGGGGGAAGTAAGTAGAACCAGTATTTTAAAAATTGAATAGATCATTAAACAATTTAAGGTAAACATATGTTTATACATATATATTTTAATATTATACAATGTCTTGTAAGATTGCACATTAATAATAAGAGGAAAGATAATAACAATCTTTGAATATGAATATAATTGAACCTGAATTTGGCTAATGTTTTTTTAAACTTAACAAAATCTACAAAAATCCCAAACAAAGAAGAAAAAGTACAACATAAGTAGTTTAAAAAGGTCTTTCATCACTGATTCGGAGACCAGTAGGTTTTTGGTTGAATGGTTTAAACACTCAATGGATAAAACCCGTTGACGTGCATCTACATATAACCTTTATTACAATAATAATAATAATAACAATTGCTTACCACTCTGTTTACGACTTTTTTAGTGTTTTAGGTTTTTATACAAATCTTGAATTTGAGGGTTATTCTTGTTATAAATTATAATATTGGCATATTAACACACCGTGTTTCTTTACTAATAAGGCTACCTCTCTAATGATTACTATTTTTCATGTAATAGTTTATCTTGTATACAGTGTCTTATATTCGAACTGGGCATTTTTTCCCAACAGAAAATGTGTATAAAAAATTTGAGCAAATGAAGTTTCTTCTATGAGACTACATTTCTACTTTCAATTTAGGTTGCTTTTTAAAGTTTTTAAAGTGAAAAAATATGCAACTTAATTCTAAAAATATATGTATAAAATAGATTAAAAATTGCTTTTTTATTTAGTTTTGGTCTTGAGTAATTAGGCCTTCACACAAATTTGAAGTAATACTTATAGGGAAAATGCAATTATCCAGGTCTTCCTTTCAGAACATTTATTTAGTATGCTTGTTGCAAAATATGATTGGATTAAAATGATGAAAATCGGAAGTAGAACTTGTTTGAATTATACGGGAATTACTTTTTGGTTGAATTTTGTTGAATTTACTTGGAATAGTCTGTATCTGCTTTATCTATGAATTTTTTTGTCATGTGAATCATTCATATTTTGTAGATGCTGTCACAAAGGAAAAGTCTCAAGGATATTTGTTCCGCTCTGTGCTAAAGTGCATCCCATATCTAATAGAAGAAGTTGGAAGAAATGATAAAATTACTGAAATAATACCACAGCATGGCATAAGTATTGACCCAGGTGTTCGCGAGGAAGCTGTTCAAGTATTAAATCGGATTGTGAAATACCTACCTCACCGTCGTTTTGCAGTAATGAAGGGAATGGCCAATTTCATATTAAGACTTCCTGACGAATTTCCTCTTCTCATTCAAACATCTTTAGGGCGCCTGTTGGAACTCATGCGCTTTTGGAGATCTTGTCTGATAGATGATAGGATGCAACTTGATGCTGATGCGAAACCTCTGGGTCTTGAAGCTGAGAGATTCAGAAAGTTTTCCTTCAAACAATCGGGTGAAGCAATGGAATTCCGTGCATCAGAAATTGATGCAGTTGGCCTCATATTCCTTAGTTCTGTTGATAGTCAAATTCGGCATACAGCATTGGAATTACTGCGTTGTGTTCGCGCATTGAGGAATGATATTAGGGACCTGAGGATGCATGAGCAACCAAATCATTCTTGGAAATACGAAGCTGAACCAATATTTATTATTGATGTTCTAGAAGAACACGGGGTATACTTTTGCGTTAATATTTTTATTTCATATTAAGGTCCAGTTTTGTCAGAATGTTCATTTTCTCTTATTTAGGGCTACAATTTATCATTTATTTATTTTGAAGTTCAGTTCTGCTGTATTGAGATTTTTTTGCTTTGAATAAGAATATAAATATGTGGGTATTACAGGATGAGATTGTTCAGAACTGCTACTGGGACTCGGGGCGACCATTTGATTTGAAACGAGAACCTGATACTATTCCTCCTGAAGTGACACTCCAATCTATAATTTTTGAGAGCCCTGATAAGAACAGGTGGGCTCGGTGTCTTAGTGAGTTGGTCAAATATGCTGCCGAGCTTTGTCCAAGTTCTGTTCAGGAAGCAAAGTAAGTATTTGTTTCTCTTTTCAGCTAGAGATATTTTAGTGGAAACTGGTTTTTGGTTAAGGGGCTAGTAAGAGATACGAAATTTCAATATGTTTTACCGTTCAACAATAATCTTGTTACACTTGTCAGATCCGTTGACATTGGATAGAAACTTAACAAGTAACAAAACACAACCCTCAAATACACCTTTTTTCTTCATAATAAAAAGAACCCTTGCATCAAAAAGAAACCAATAACTGAATCTTGTTTCCTATCAATAATTTTGTTTAAGAAATATCCTTTAAATAAGAGGGGGCAACAATGTGTTATTCCCTTACAAAGAATATCTTGTTGATCACTCTCTTCCAAGTTATTTTCTACCTCACCAACTCTCCCTTCCCACTATATATCTAACTCCTCTTGCCATACCCACAATCTTTGTCTGCTAAGCAACTTTTCTTCCCCTGTAACATTAACGTTTCCTACTGTAAACTCTCCATACATTGGGCCTAGTCCCCTAATTAACCCATGATTGGCCCAAATCTTCCCTCAGATTCATATGAGTTTATAAGTGGGGACAATTTTCATCTCACAAGTCGGTTTTTAAGTTGAGTTAGGTCCAACCTAAAAACTTAATATGGTATAAGAGCCTATTGATTCTGGCCACTTGCCATTTATATTCATGCGCTAAACCCGATAGTGTTGGATCGGAGGGAGTGTATTGGGAAAAACTCAAGTGTCACAAAGTTCATAAAGAATGCACCCATTATTTTACAAGTCGGTTTTGTAAGATTGAGTTAGACTCAACCCAAATTCTAAGATAATATCAGAGTCTATCTAAGATCTGTTGGGCCACCTGCTATCAGGTCACCTATATCATATCACTTGTGTCACATTCCAGATGTCCAGTCTTGGGCGTGGGGTGTGTGATTAGAGTCTCACATTGGATGATATAGGACTGACAGCGTGTTTATAAGTAGTGGCAGTCCTTACCTCACAAACCGGTTTTGTAAGGTCGAATTAGATCCAACCAAATGCGCATAAATACAGATTAATATAACGATTCAGCTTCTTCACTTCTGCTGAAACCATTAAAGCTAGTGAGCAACAGTTGATTGAAGGACACAGCAGGGCATACTAAACATTCACCTAAACATCCCTGTCACATATATAGGCAGCGGCTGAGCAATGTTGGAAGACATGATTGACAAATTCTGATCATGTACCACATATAACAAATTAGGAGCCTTATGTGGCTTGCAAACATGCCACATTCCGTTAGTATTAATTTTATCAGCCACTTCAGTAGGATAAAATAGTTGACCTCAGAGGGAGCTTTGGAATTCCGAGCCATTCATCAGCATTGGCAAATAGCTTATTCAATAACTGAGAAATTGAGAGAGGGATTTGAGCGAAAACATCTGACAAGGATCAAGAATATGTTATTTTATCCAAGTGCAAGATAAATGAGTAGAGTAAATGCAACCCAAATTCTTACTCCAATTCAAAACTTTTCCTGACATTTAAATTACGAGAAATGTTGAAATTTCATGGAAAATGTAGGATTGAATGTTATTAAAATTGTCGTAAGAAAGCTATGTACTAATTTAGATGAGAGATATGGGATAACTTCTGTCAAGTAGTATTCTGGCAAACTCCTGTCCTGTGTTCCTCCCAATATCTACTTGAGAGCTATTAACACCACCATTTAAATCGAAGACCTAAAAGACACTTATTCCCCCTTTTTCCTTAATTGCCTATATTATGTGTCTTCGTAGGTTGCCTTACTTTCTTTTACTGTAATGAGCACAAGGGATATTGTCATAGATTTTTCAATTTTGTAATATTTTTATTTTGGTGGTTTATGAGAGAATACAATATCACTTAATCCATGTAGCCGATTTTACCCAGAGGGAAAAATGCTCTGGTTCTTATAAAATTTTAAAATTTCCATTCTACCTGTATATGTATAACTATCAAGTACTCAAGCATGCTAGGCTGACTATTAAGCTTATGTTTTTATTTTTACTGATAGGTACGATCTTTTTTCTTTTATAAAAAACTTGCTTCGAGCGTTTTTTTTTTGTTATTATGGTGAACTAGTTATTGTTACTCACTGATAGTGCCTCCCGTCCTTCTAGTCCCAACTAAATTTTTTAATATCACTAAAACTTTGTGCAGGGTAGAGGTTACGCAACGTCTTGCTCATATCACGCCGATTGAATTGGGTGGAAAAGCCCATCAGTCACAGGATGTTGATAATAAACTAGATCAGTGGCTTATGTATGCCATGTTTGTCTGTTCATGTCCACCGGTTGCTCGAGAGTCTAGTGGAACTGCAACAACCAAAGATCTTTACCATCTTATTTTTCCGTCACTAAAATCTGGATCTGATACACATGTTGTAAGTACTCTTCACTCAGTAGACTTTATCTATAAGTTTATATCATCACAGGATGACTAGGTATTGAAGATGAAGTGTTGCATGCAATCATTTTGATAGGTCGTTTAGGTTTTATTTCCACATTTTCATACTCAAATAAGCATATGACAACATGGGAATTCTTTTGTTCTTTTTACTGTATTCTAATCTTGCTTTGCTATTTTTAGTTCCTATTTTGATTGGACGGTGAGAATAACCAATTGAATCTCCAACTTAAAAAAATAAATTCCAAATATTTGAGTTACTTGTGTATATGCTAAGTTGCATTACTCAGTGTTCCTTTATTTTACAACATATATTTTTGTACCCTCAAATTTAATAACTTTTTACTCACTATCAAATATTAATCTTTGTTTTCACCTCTCTTAAATGGGAGAGGTATTTGGTAGACAGATGGTTGATAACTATTGCAGTTTTATAGATGTGAAGGCATTTAAATTTTTTGCTATCATTCATTTGCCCACTACTTTTGATCTCTATTTATTACTAAGGAGGTTTATGATATAGCATGCAGCCACGATGGCTCTTGGCCGTTCACACTTGGATGCTTGTGAAATCATGTTTGGCGAGCTGGCTTCTTTTATTGATGAGGTTTCTTCTGAGACAGAAGGAAAACCAAAGTGGAAGGTATTGTTATATGTAAAAGAAATCAACAGAACATTATAGAAAAATGTTTATTGATATAGGGATTAATGTTGGAATTTCCGCCTTAATCGCGGTCCGCCCCTAGTCGCCTTAATTGCGGCCCGCCCCTAGTCGCCTTAATTGCGGCATTTGGCTTGCCTTCATTGCAGCCCTCAACACCTTCATTGTGTTGGGTTTGAAGGGGGTGGATTTAGTCCCACATTGCTTAGAGATATGGCCTGTGTTGAGATTATAAATGGGGACAATCCTCACCTTCCAAACCGGTTTTGTAGGAATGAGTTAGGCCCAACCCAAATTCTAACAATTAATATAAAAGAAATCAAGAAATAATTTTGAATTCTTACACCTTTTCCACATATGTGAAGTGAACAATGTTCAATATTCCATATTTCAAATTAAAAGGCATGATCTAATTAAACCTTTTGTTAATTATTGCTTTTCCAATTTTCGAAGTGGAATTTGGCACTGATTAGTTATATTATATGGATGCAGAGTCAAAAGGCTCGCAGGGAAGAACTCCGCGTCCCTATTGCAAATATTTATCGCACTGTTGCCGAAAATATATGGCCTGGCATGCTCGCACGCAAGCCAGTTTTCCGCCTTCATTATCTTAAATTTATTGATGAGACGAACAGACTTTTAACAACATCTCCTGAAAGCTTTCCAGACATGCAACCATTCCGTTATGCACATGCTTGTGTTATTAGATCTTTGGCCCCTGAATTTGTTGATTCAAAATCTGAGAAATTCGACGTTAGAACTAGAAAGCGCCTATTTGAGTTGCTTCTATCCTGGTGTGATGACACTGGCAGTACATGGACTCAAGATGGTGTCAGCGATTATAAACGTGAAGTTGATCGTTATAAATCTTCTCAACATGCACGGTCAAAAGATTCTGTGGATAAAATATCATTTGACAAAGAATTAAATGAACAGGTTGAGGCAATCCAGTGGGCATCCATGAATGCAATAGCATCACTTTTATATGGACCATGTTTTGATGACAATGCAAGAAAAATGAGTGGCCGTGTGATATCATGGATTAATGCTTTGTTTTTGGAGCCTACACCGAGGGCTCCATTTGGTTTCTCACCAGCTGATCCAAGAACTCCATCATATACCAAATATCAAGGGGAAGGCGGCCGGGGAACTGGTCGAGATAGGGTTAGGGGTGGCCATCACCGTCTTTCTCTAGCAAAATTGGCCTTGAAAAATCTTTTGCTTACAAATTTGGACCTATTTCCCGCCTGTATTGATCAGGTAATATTTTCACTTTCTATCATGTATGACTCCTACTGAAGAAATTGAAATGTTGTATCGGTTTAAAATCCATTGGGTGGGTGTTTATAATACTGTACTTTACAAGCTTAAAAAAGGTATTAACAGAAGTAAGTTGTCTTAACAATGTCTGCGGACATGATAGATAAAGTCATTCATGAGCTTTCACCTAACAATTTATTTATAAATTTGTTATATTTAAAATTGTGGTAGTTTCTATTTTATCGTCCAAGGTTTTAAGTTCTGCTTAAAATCAAAATGCAAAACATAAAATGATAATATATTTATCCCTAAATTGAAGTTGGGAATTTCCAAGTGGCATTAGATGCAGTCCCTTTACTCCAATATATAATAAATAAACTCATAATTCAAGCTCTCCATATCTTTCTGTTGATTACTGTTGGAATTATAAAATAAATTGAAATTAATAACTATTTAAGTGCCTAGTAAATCACATTACCTAGGAACTAGGAACTAGAAACTATAAATCTACATGGAGATTTAGAAGAGGAGATTTATATGGAGCAACCACTTGGGTTTGTTGCTCAGGGGGAGTCTGGCTTGGTTTGCAAACTACGACGCTCTCTCTATGGACTTAAACAGTTCCCACGAGCTTGGTTTGGAAAATTCAGCTCAGTTGTTCAGGCTTTTGGTACGAAACGTAGTGAAGCAGATCATTCAGTCTTCTATTGCCATACCTCTCCAAATAAATGTGTTTATTTGGTGGTTTATGTAGATGATATAGTCATTATTGGAAATGGTCAAGAAAAAATTTCTCAATTGAAGGAGCATTTATTCAAATATTTTCAGACCAAAGTTCTAGGAAGGTTGAAATATTTTCTTGGAATTGAAGTTGCTCAGTCAAAGAATGGGATTATCATTTCACAGAGGAATTATGCATTAGATATTGTTAGATATCAGAATATTCCATATTATGTAAATAGAATATTCTGTAAGTAATTAGGATATCATGTAAATAGGAAATAGAATATTATGTAATTATAGAAATACGTTGTATATTTCATTTATATTGGAACTATTACATTGTGAGGTATATATAGAATACAGTACACTAATTTGTTAATAAACAGAAATAATTTCCTATAATTGCTGCTACCTAAATAAGGAAATCAGAATAATAGATAATAAATCTATTTACACCACTGTTTTGTAACAGCTTGACAAATCAGAATCAAATGATTATGATTTGATATGTGCTAATCTTCAACACTCCCCCTCAATCTGGGTGGTAGATGTCTATCATACCCAGATTGGATTTGATATTTTCATAAGTATTCTTTGAAAGAGCCTTGGTTAAGATATCTGCAGTTTGCTTGCATGATGGGACTTGATCAATACTTATAATCTTATGATCAATTTTTTCTTTAATGAAGTGTCGGTCAATTTTCACATGTTTTGTTCTATCATGTTGGACTGGGTTCTTTGCATTGCTTATAGCAGCGTTGTTATCACATAGTAACCTCACAGTATGGTTCACTGAAATTTTGATTTCATCTAGCATGCTCTTAAGCCATATTCCTTCACAAATACCTAGGGCCATAGCTCTAAATTCTGCTTCTGCACTACTCCTCGCCACTACAGTTTGTTTCTTGCTTCGCCAAGTTACTAGGTTCCCCCACACAAATGAACAATAACCTGTAGTCGATTTTCTGTCTGTGGAGCATCCTGCCCAATCTGAATCTGTATAAACTTCAATGTCCCTGTTTGAATTTCTCTTGAAGTGGAGGCCTCGACCTGGTGTGCCTTTGAGGTATTGGAGGATTCTATTCGCCATTTTCATGTTAGACTCGGTTGGATTTGACATGTAGCGACTAGCCAAGCTTACAGCGAACCCAATGTCAGGCCTAGTGTGAGATAGGTAGATTAGTTTCTCAACTAGACTTTGATATCTATCTTTGTCGGCTGGTGGACTTTCATCTTCTCTTCCTTTTATTTGTTCTATTGGTGTATTAGCTGCCTTGCACCCAAGCATTCCAGTTTCTTGAAGTAAGTCAAGGGTGTATTTCCTTTGTGATACATAGATACCATCCTTTGTTCGAGCAACTTCCATCCCTAAAAAATACTTAAGTTGTCCCAAGTCCTTAACTTCAAATTCCTTTGCCAAGAGTTCCTTTAAATGATCAATCTGATCATAATCATTTCCTGTAATAACGATATCATCCACATAAACAATAAACAAAGCTACCTTTCCTTCCATGGAGTGTTTAACAAACATAGTGTGATCTGATTGGCATTGGTTGAACCCGTCTTTCTTGACAACTCGAGTCAATCTATCAAACCACGCCCTTGGGGACTGCTTGAGGCCATAAAGGGATTTTCGGAGCCTGCACACCATATTTGCGGTGCTGGATGATTCGAGTCCAGGAGGAATCTGCATATAAACTTCCTCTTCTAGGTCACCATTTAAGAAGACATTCTTGATGTCTAGTTGATGGAGTGGCCAATCTAAATTTGCAGCCAAAGAGAGAATAACTCTAACGGAGTTTAGTTTTGCCACCGGTGCAAAAGTCTCTTCATAATCTACTCCATATGATTGAGTAAATCCCTTTGCTACAAGTTGAGCTTTGTACCAATTTACACTCCCATCTGCATTATACTTCATGGAGAATATCCATTTGCATCCTACCGGCTTCTTCCCTGCAGGTAGGCTTGTGATTTCCCAAGTGCCATTCTTAATTAAGGCCTGAACCTCTTCCTTTACAGCTGCTGCCCATTCAGAATTTTGGAGTGTCTCATGGATGTTGCTTGGAATATGTGTATTGTCAAGAGCTGTTACAAAAGTCTTGTAACTTTGGGACAATTTTCCATAAGATACAAATCTTTCAATGGGATGTTTGGTACAGGATCTTACATTTTTTCTCAACGCAATAGGAATATCAATATCAACATTCACAAAGTTAGGAGCAGTATTACCTGAGGGAACGCCATTTTCTGGAGTCTTGGAGGTTTCTTGGTTCTGCCTTGGAGTTGTGCAGGACTCTATTCCCTTCTTGTTCTTCCTGGAGTACACTTTCATGTTGTTTCCTGGTGCAGTTTCTGTTGTAGGGGCTGCAGTTTCTACTGCAATTTCCTCTGTATTTTCTAACGTAGTTTCTTCTGGTCCACATGTAAGTTCTGCAGTTTCTGTTGCATTTTCATTTGGTTCAGGTGTAGGTTTTGATGCCTCTGCAGTGAGTTTGGGTTCAGTTAGCTCAAGTTCCAAAAGTTGGGATTCTACCACTTCAATTGGATGTGTTCTCTCCCTGAATGCCAACTTTGGGGTAATATGGCTGATTCTCAAAAAAGGTTACATCCATGGTGTGGTAGAATTTTTTGTTTTGAGGTGAATAACATTTGTATCCCTTTTGGTGAGGAGAGTAGCCGAGGAATATGCATTTAATAGATTTCGGGTCAAGTTTACTGCGTTGGGGATCAAGATTATGGACAAAGGTTGTGCATCCAAATATTTTCAAAGGAATAGATGTAAGAATACGATTGGTTGGGTATAAGGTTTGGAGAGTGGAGTAAGGCGTATGAAAGTTAAGGATTCGGGAAGGCATTCTGTTTATTAGATAGGTTGCAGAGAGGACAGCTTCTCCCCAAAACTGGTTAGGTACATTTGTAGCTAGCATGAGAGATCGGGTTACTTCTAGGAGGTGTCTATTCTTTCTCTCGGCAACCCCGTTCTGCTGAGGTGTATCCACACATGAGGTTTGGTGTATTATTCCATGTTGCGTAAAGTATGAGCTTAGTGCAGAATTATAGTACTCACGACCATTATCACTCCTAAGCACTCTAATTTTGCTTTGAAATTGTGTTTGCACCATGGTATGGAAACATTCAAATATCCTACCAACTTCCGATTTATCTTTCATAAGGTAGACCCAAGTGATCCGTGTGTTGTCATCAATAAATGTGACAAACCATCTTGCTCCAGTTACATTTCTGACCCGCGATGGTCCCCATACATCACTATGAATAACATAAAAAGGTTGGGAAGGTTTATAGGGTTGAGGTGGGTGGGGGCTGCGTGTATGTTTGGACAATTGACAAATTTCACATTGAAACAACTTTTGATTTTTATTGAATAAGGAAGCATTTTTTCCAAGTACATAAAATTTGGGTGGCCTAGTCTATAGTGCCACAGCATTGCAGAATTTTCACTACATGCAGAAACTACAGCACAAGAGGTTGCCTCGAATTCTGGTTTAGATGCTTCAGCCTGAAGGATATAGAGTCCAGCACATTCTTTAGCATTGCCAATCGTCCTCCCCGACTCCAAAATCTAAAATTCACACAGGTTAGGAAAGAATTTAGTGATACACTTCAAATCCTTTGTAAGTTTACTTATGGACAGCAAGTTACAATCAAGTTTAGGCACATACAGTACTGAACTAAGAGTAATATTTTGCGAAATAATGACTAAACCTTTACCCATGACCTTAGAAAGGGTACCATCAGCAATTCGAACAGTCGAATTATTTTGACATGGAGAATAGCTATCAAAGACAGTCAAATCTCCAGTCATGTGATCAGATGCTCCTGAGTCAATAATCCATGATTTTTGTTTTCCCCTGCTAGTGTTTAGAGCATGCAAAAAATTACCTTTTTGTGTCACAGTAGCTGTACCAATTGTTTGTTGAAGCAATTTTTGTAAGGCTTCCATTTGCTCCTTGTTGAATGGTGACGAGTGAGAATTTACCTCAGCTGTGTTCCCTCTGCTGTTCCGGTTTTTGCTCCATTTTAGCTCTGATGGCTTTCCATGAATGATCCAACATGTGTCTTTGGTATGACCCGGTTTCTTGCAGTGGTCACACCATGGCCGTGTTTTCTTTTGGAAAGATCGATGATCTCCCCTTGCTGCCATTGCAGATCCTTCTATAGATGGGGCTGCACTGGATTTTCCAAGCATCACTTTTCTCTTGCTTTCCTCTCTTCGTATTTCCGAGAATGCTTCTCGAATTTTTGGAAGAGGTTTGGTT